ATAATGAACAGAAGGAAATTAAAATATTATAGTGTTAAAAGAATTTCTAGGGAGGTGGCAGCAATTTGAACTAAGAGGCCACTTTTGAAACACATCTATATTGTTCCTTACCTCATAGTTTAACGAAAAATAATTTTAAGTAAAATTTTAAAAATTGTTATATAAATTTTTTTTAAAAAATGAGGTCCTGCTGTTTCCACAGGAATGGGGTAGTCATGCATAGAGTTGATGGAAGGGATTTAGGGGTAGGGAGTGTTCTCAAATAATTTCTGCCAGGAAACTAGTCTTTTCCCCCAATAAATCCATGGAGTTCACTAAATATGCCCTCCTATGTGCAAAAGAGCATGTGATTTTGCTAGAGTAAGAGACAGAGACAGGGCTGAGACTGGTGCAGAGGCTTCAAGATCAGGTTCAGGGGTTAAAATAAACAACTCTTAAAACAGAAGCTAACTAGAGGGGGCTGATAACCGCAGGAAAGAACCGGCTTCAACCAGCTTGTCAGCTATTTCTACCACCTTACATTAACTTTGGCTAATTACAATATCATTTGCATTGTGGTTTTAAAATTTCTCTACCCTTAAACTCACCATGATAGTTCTGAGACAACCATATAAAGTATGAAAATGGGAGGGAACCCAATTCTAGGAATTACTTCCCAAATTCTTAGTAAAACCCAACCCCTTAGCCTTGAGTATTCCTCTCCTCAATTAGTAAGGCTACAAAAGATCTAAAACCACTTTCTCCCAGTGCAGCTGCTCTTGAGCCTGCCCACTACTCTCCTCCCTGGTGCTCGGACTTTCAATAAACCTTTCACTTGCTTGTTGAAATACCTATCACATAAGTGTATGTACTGAAATTCTTTTCCCTGATGAACACCAAGAACTTGGAAAAACCTCCACTTGGAGGCTGGTAACAATCTGTGATCTGAAAGATGAGATGGCCACTTTATGCCCAATGTGGCTATTGGCCTTAAGCCAGTTTAGCTTAGAGTGGTGAGCATGACCACAGGGAAAAAAAAGATGACCAGTAGAGTAAATGACATTTGGCCTGATGACCAGGGTAAGATAGTTCAGAACTACAGGTCTGAGAGAATGATTTAGTCACTTGTAGCTAAAGTGATGCCACCAAACCACCATAGAGACTATTGAAAAATGAAAATTACATCTGTAACAGAAAATGTACTTATAACACATGTATGATGTAATATTCAGTATATTTTTGCATGAGTTTGCCGTAATGCAATTTATTTATTGTGAATAAATACCTTTTTGAACATTTTTCAAGTAAAGAATTTAGCTATAGTCCTAGCGCAGAAAGTAGAGTCTAGATGGTGGTCTTCAGGGACCATCAGGGCACAGGAACAGTACTGAGGGACTCTTGGACAGTTGGTACCCAAGAGATGTTTATGAAAATACATTTTTGCTCAAGGAATTTACATTGACACAGATGTATGTGTGTATAAAAACAGAGAATGCAATTTGGGGAAATTAAATAAAATAAAAATTGTTTGAAAATGTGGACTCTTAAGTATGGTTATAAATCTCAAAAAGGACAGCTCTAATTTATTGCCCATGTGGGAGAAATTCTGGGTGTACTCTCTCTGGATGTACTTTCCTCTTCACTGTTATAACTATGGCGCAAAGGGGTAATTATCAGTTTGTGAATTCTACTGTGAAAGGACCAAGGTGATCTCACTGGAAATGTTTCCCAGAGACTCTCCTTTGCTTTCTAAAATAATATAACTGGGTATAAAATGAATGGCTGGCACATTTAAAAACATACATATCGCAAATGACAGCAAACTTGGAAAAACTAGAGGCCCACCTAAATGCTACAGTTGTGACAGCAAAGGGGTCACAGAGTCTTGTGTTTTGAGGGGAACGAACATATTAATTACATAATCTTTTAAAATGTAATAAAAACAATGTTCAGTAGATTCCTAAAACAACTACATGTTAATCTGGCTTTTGGTAAATAAAACCTCAAGGAAAATTTCCTTCCAAACAAGATGTGCCACAGTGAAAATCTACTGACACGGAATGAAGATTAAGTAATATTTTCCCTTAAATAAAAAGGAATTATGGTTATGATCCACTAATTAGAAACAATAACATGATTTAAAAGCTATGGTAAATTTTATATGAGAGTTGTAGTGAGACCAATTTACTTTGATGGAAAATTGTCATAGTAAATAGGAGTTATAAGCTCTGCTCAATAGTGTGGGATACTTTAATTCACTATCATTAAGACAGGACAAATCAAACAGTAGATTCCAAATAAAATATTTGATGAAGATGCTGAATATTGTAAAATCAATTAAAATGGTATTATGCTCTATCCTGTTAATGTATATTTTATAAATGCAATAAAGTTTATTAAATTTAAAAAGTTGCTTTAGTCTTTCATACTGTCTGAAAATATTAATTGGATTAAGTAAACCATAAAAGTGATGTACTCTAAAGTGTTCTGTAGGCCAATATGGCTTGATAAATAATAGGACTTTATCCCACCTCAAAGAAAATGTGGGGCCTTATTCAAAATTATTCCTGTCTGACTCTAGTTCATTCTGATTTATTAACATTCTAACTATTCAAACATAATCTCATAGGAAAAAAACCAAAATCACAACTTAGCTTCACATAAAAAAGTCATATCAAGGACCACATTCATATGCCTTTTTCATTGTGTTGTTGAGATTATTAAATGAGATAATGCTTCCTATGGTGTCTGACACATTTTATTCATAATGTGGGTACTAACATAACCTAATACTTGTTTGCCTGGACATTTTCTTGGTATTTGTCACCAATACTGGGCAGTATGCAATCAGAAAAACTGGGTTAAATATTTTAAACACATGTAGAGGAGAATTTTTCAAATGAACAACAGAGTGAGAGGCAAAACTTTGAGGGCATCTTGTAAAAGGTGGCGTTACAGAAGGGAAGGTTGATGTTTGTTTTTGGGGTTACGGTTTTATCTACAGCAGGTATTTCTTTTTTATTTACAGTTCTAAATACATAGTATACTATGTTAAAAAAGAATATGGAATTTTTGCTACTGACATACCGTTTTTTCCGAGTGTGCCTGAGGAAGGCAAATTTTATTGGATATTTGAAATGTTATAATCTATAAACACTTTCCCCACTTCAAAGAGTACTGCTGGTGACAAAGTTTCTCTTAAATATATTTTTTCTCATAAATATTTAATCTTTCATCTATGATCTAAACAACTTATCTCTATATGAATCACCTATCTTCGTTACTAGTGCCAAGAACTTGGGCAAATCGTTTCACTTCAGGACCTCAGATTAGGAAATATATACGATGTCCACTGGAACTATGAGTCATGACTCCATTAGTATGTCACAACAGTATTTTTAGTAAATAAAATGGATTTGACAAAATTTGAATAGAAAATATAGAAGACAAAACACCTGGTAAAACTAGTTTGTAAATTTTGTTTCAGTTTTAAATATGTGTATGCATATTGTGTGACAATGTAAAATGTAACTCAATTCAGAACCTAGTCCAAGCGTTACAAATTCAGTAGTCTTTTGTCATTAGTTGACTTCTTTGTGGTCCTCAGCATTGATAGTTTTTTTCATTTGTTTTTTTAAGACAAAAAACAAGCTGTGGTTGCCAGGGACTAGGAGGTGGGGAATGGGGAGATGCTGGTTGAATGGTACAAACTTTTGGTTTTAAGATGAATACGTTCTGGAGATCTAAAGTACAGCATGGACTACAGTTAACAATACTGTATTGTATACTTGAAATTTGCTGAGAGACCTTACATGTTCTTACTACCTCTCCCCCAAACAAATGGTAACTATGTGAAGGAATGGATGTGTTAATTAGCTTGATTGTGGTAATCATTTCCCAATGTATATCAAATCATAACTTTGAATACCTTAAATACATAAGGTTCTGAATATATAATTTTTATTTATCAATTACAACTCAATAAAGCTAGAAAAAATAATAAAAAACCCACTCCAGGCTCTTGGCTTGTGGCACAGGACTCTTTTTTTCTTGATGGCCTCTTCTTCACTGACCCTTAACTATGGTTGTATTGCAGAGATTATTTTTAGCCTTCTTTCCTCACTTCACATATCCCCCTCTACAATCTCACGTTCTCATTGCTTTAAATACTAAATATATACTTACAACCCTCAGATTTTTGCTTGCAGTCCAGACATTTCTTCTCAGCTCTAGGAGACTGGGTCCAAAGGTTCCTGAAAGCAATTAGTCTGGTGGGACAGGGTGGGGAAGGAGGTACCCCACCCACTCAGGAGTAAACGGGAGGAGCGAAATTTAGGGGCTGTGAGAGTCTGATTCGTTCATTTACTCATTGGTTATGAGCGCTTACACATTCACTGCTCTTAGAAAGTTTCAAAACTAGTGTGGCAGGCAGACAGGGATTAACGGCAGGATGGTTATTAACTAAGGATATGGGTGGGCATGAGGGCATTCATGTGCACGTTGAGAAGTCCTCGGCCACAGGAACATAAAAAGCGCAAAGGGAAAATCCCACTTAGTCCCTCAAAGAGATATAATAAAAATGTCGGAGTTTATTAGTTTAGTCAAACATTAAAAAGTAAATGGAAAGCAAATCCCTTTAGGGAAGGAGTAAAGTTCGGCACAAATAAGGGATTTGAGCAGAACGTTGCGCTGCTGCAGGCCACGAAGAGAACACGGTGCTGATTGGGGAATATGAGGAGAATGAACACACCTCTGTAGAAAAAAAATTAAAACCCAGCAATTGTTAAAAATCCACGGTATAAAAGACACCTCACCCCAAGGCAGCTCCGCCGCCCCGCCAACCGCTGGAGCCTCCTCAGCTGCCGAGCGCGCCGCGCACAGCCCAGCGAGCTCCGCCCCCTTCCCCGAAAGCCCCTCCGCGGAGCCCCGTGCACGTGCGTAGCGGATACCGCCCCCTCTGCTCTCTTGGCCAATGAAAAAGAGCTTCGTAATTCGCCACGGCCGGGTCGCGAGTCACGTGACCGCGTCTCTTCTCTCGCCCTGCTACTTCTGGGTTCTGGGAAGATGGCGAAGGTTTCAGAGCTTTACGATGTCACTTGGGAAGGTAACTTCGGGTGAGGCGGGTGCGGGAAGACCGAAAGCCCTGGGAAACGGTTCAGGAATACCCGCTTCCCTCAGAGAGCTGAATTCTTCAGTCTCTCTTTGGCACCGGAGCTCTCGCTGGACAGGTCAAGCTCAGGTGGAGGTTGAGGCTGACCCCCTCCTTGGCCCGCCCACGAACTCTGGGGCTTCCCAACCATGTCTGCTCTTTGATAGACTGACCGACCTACCTCCGCGCTAATCCAGCCGCCCAGGGCAGCTTCCACTTACGCGGCTAGAGGGACCTGGGGCTGGGGCTGGGGCTGGGGCTGGGGCTCTCACAAGTCACAGTCACAGTCTTCTGTTTTTGCTGGGAGGCGTAGAGGAGGCAGGATAGGTGGTTGCCGAAGCTCCTTTGGAGCCAAGAAATACAGGGCCTGTAAGGCCTTATGCTAAGTGCTGTGTAAGGGTTACAGCACTGGGCAGAAAAGCTGTGTAGAAGAACCGTGAACAAATCTTCTCTTACATGTCACTTTACATTTCGTTCTCTCATCAAAACCGGTTTTCAATTTCTCCGTTTTTGGACTTTCCTATGTCCCACTCCTTCTCAAAACACATTTACACGTACAACACAACTTCCTAATTTTTGTTTTTTAGAAATAGGGTCTCCTTCTGTCGCCCAGGTTGGCGTGTGGGGGGACGATCTTAGCTCACTGAAGCCTGGAACTCCTGGGCTCAAGCGATCCACCTAGTGCCTCAGCCTTCCTAGTAGTAAGGATTACTACTACACCTGGCTAGTTAAGAGAATTTTTTTTTTTTTTTGGTAGGAACAGGTCTGGATATGTTGCCCAGACTGGTCTTGAACTCAAGGCCTCAAGCGACCCTCCCACCTTGCCTCCCAAAGTGCTGAGACCGCGCCAGGCCCAGAACTTCCTTTTTTCTCCCTACTAGAAATTCCTTTTCTGAGGGGTAAAATAACTGGTTAATTCTGGGGCATGTGCTCATGTGTGATGTATGGACTTGTTTCCCCATCCTTGGTTGATTTAGAGTGGAGTATGTTCTTTAAATCTGGAAGCAGCCAAACCTTGGACCAATTCTGTAAGAGTTTTTTTCCTTTCTCAAAAACTTGAATGGGAGACATGCTTAAGAGAAGAAACTTGGATTTCTTTAAGGGATGGAATTTGTGTAATTGAAATTCATATTCCCAGCATGTAGCATATTGCAGTAGACTTTAATAGCTAATTTGTTCAATGAATGCCTTTGTGTTATGTTTAAATAACACAAACTGACCTGATAACATGGGGACTGAAAGTTATATTTACTGTTTGATGGTGAATAAATTTCTCGAGTATTACAGAGTTGTAAGGGGAAAAGTAAAATTCCTGTATACTTGAACTGAGTTTAATGATTTATTGGCTTTTTGGTCTTTAGCACACTGTGAACTTAAGTATTTCTACCTGTATTGCGGGAATCCATTACATTGAACAAAAGTATTAAGTCCTTAGTGTAAGATCTTGCATATATCAAGTTAAGTAACACACAGTCCCTACTTGCAAGGAGTTCACAGTCTAATGGAGAAGATAATCCTATGAACATAATAGATTTAAAAGGCTTGTGTTAGGGTGTATTCCTTAAGCTGGATAGTAGTTGTGTGGCTGTTATTTTTAATGCTTTTTTGAAAAGTTTTAAATATTTCATATTTTTTAGGAAGCGCTATCATGAAGGTATGTTCCATATAGCTTTCCTAGATGATAGTAGCATCTTGAAGGACAACAAGTAGGTGTGTAACTACTAGCAAACAGGATGATTTAAGTAACTTGGACCTTACCCTATGAGTATTCTAAAGAGGAGTGATACGATTAGATTTGGAATAATAAATAATAAGTACTTAACAAGTTTGTTGGGGAACAAAAGAGAAAACGTGTTAAAAGTACTTTGTAAACTACTGTATGAAAAGATGTGTTGTTAGTTAATACTAATATGATTATGCCCCTCCCCTGTATGTTTTGGCTCTTGCCCACGTCTCCAGCTTTATCTTGAGCCATTCTCACCCTCACTTTATGAGCTGGCTGTGCTGGCCTTTGTTGAATTCCCTAAATTGCCCTGCTTTTTGTCTTAGGGCTGGACACATGCTATTCCTTTTACTAGGAGTGTTCTTCCCTCCTTGCATTGAACTTCCCCCATTAAATTTTAGCATTTCTCAAAACTCCCCTCAAAGGTCAAGTACTGCAGAGAGCCTTCCTGGATCACTCTACCTACCCTCCCCACCTTCCCCATGCTTCTGCCAAAATTTAAAAAAGGAAATAGGAAAAAAGGAAAAATCCAAACAAGAAAATAAAATAAGCAGCAAAACCTACCCTGGTCTTTCATTTATGAAATACTATTGAAACACTTGCCCAATAGTGTTAAATTTTAAAATGTTGTCTTTTCTAGAATGGAAGGGACCAGACTTATTTTGTTCAGTGTCACATCACTGGAACCTGGTAATTATTTGTTGACTAAATGAATTGCCAATGGGCTTAATAATAAACACTAATAAATTGTCAAAAGATTATAACTATAAATCATTATTCTAGTGTCGGAATCATTTCTTTAGTGTCTTTGATGAAATTAGGCAACTCAACTAATAGGATACAGTTTGCTCATTAGTAAAATGAAGGTTTAGACGTTTCCATAATTAAAAGTCTATTTTAAGGGATATTTAAGAAAAGAGTATTCTAGATTTTTGTTTCAGAGACTTATGATAACAGATTTTTAGGATGTAGGAGATGGGAGGATTCTCAGGGATAGTGTTTTGTTTAAATTTTTTTTTTAGGGCAGGAGGACTGCCAGAGGTGCCACCAAACAGTATCATGACTTAGATAAAAGAGTACTGTAATTCTTGTGATAGGAAAATTTATCACCTGTTTATAAATGACCTATACAAATCTCTGTTAGGCTCTATAAAAAAAAGTAGAATATGTGGTTTATTTATTTGCCCAGTTGAAAGTTATTGGTGCTTATTACATAGGGGAATTACTACTTAGGAGTTTGAAGGTGGGAAAGAGAATTTAGAGTTGTAGGGAGAGTATAGTCAAGTTTCTTGAGAATATGCTGTTTGGGCAGGACATGGATAGGATGTCTTGCATAATGCCTGACATAAAACAGGCACTAAATGAGTATTTGTTGAAAAATTTTATGAGACATATTTGAGAGCATTTTAGTTATGTTTACTGCCCCATTTCCTTGCTTTTTATGCAGTCCTTTAAGCAACCACGATTTGGTTTCCATGCCCTACCACTCCTCTAAGGTCTCTGGGGAGTCCTAATGCTAGCTCTATCATAAGTATTTTGTGTATCTGTGCTACCTTTGCTATTGTAGATCACTCCCTCTATGAAATATTTTTTCTTGGATTTCTTAATAACATTCTTCGAGGTTCTCTTTTTACTTTTCATACCTTTCCTTTGCTGAATCCTCTACATCCATTTCCTCCTTATGTTCTTTGTGTCTTCAGTGGTTCTTTCCGTAGGAGTAGGGTCCATGTTAAAAGACCCTGCTATAGCAGCTTCAGTGCATAAGTCTTTTAAATTTGTATTGTTTTCCTCAGAATATTTTTAATTAAGTCCCCATAATTAATATGACAGCAGTTTTTCAGAGCTAATTATTTAATACTTTTATAGAGTCCTTTTAAAACATCCAGCTTTGTTTCATAGAAATAAGTCTATCTTTCAGCACTCAAGTATTCTTTGGCTTATAATATTTAATTATACTGTATAATTACATTAAGTTGAACTAGCATGAACTGGTTTGGATCTAAACAGTTGAATTTTTGAAATGTAATAACTGATGGAAACAATTAACCAAGAGCTAGCTGATGATTAGCCAAGAGCTTCTAAAGTGTTGTGGGCATCATTAGTATATTTTGCATAAAGAAATTCTTGGAGTTGATTCTAACTGGAGGATGGTTAAGAGAATTTTTATTGAACCATATTATTCTCACTCATATTTAAATTACTTTTTTACATTCTTTACACACACGGCTCATCTTCTCAAACCTTCCATTGACCAGCACAGTGGTGAGAGAAAACAAGCTTTCAGTAAATACTTGTTTGCTCAATGAGTGAATGCTAGGATATGAAGTTTGTTTTTCAGGTTTCATCCAGTAGTATCTATAGTAATGGTAATAATAATGAAAATAGCCTACTAAACATTTTGTATACATTATCTCACTTTATTTTCACATGTATCCTATGAAGTAGGCTTTCCTTATTTCTACTTTATAGGTGAGGAAGGAAACCAGAGAGGTGAAGTGGCTTGTTCAGCATCCTATAGCTAGTAAAAGGGAGTGCCAAGGTTTGAGCTGCACTTACGCTGCTGTCCTCCGCTCAGTTATTAGCTAGTCAAGTTCCTCCACCTGGGCTGCCATTCTGTTATTCTTGGAACATGCTGAGATAGTTTCTGTCTCAAGAAGTTAGAGATTTGCTGTTTATGGCTGACTCCTTCTCATTTTTCTCTCAGCTTAAAAACTACCTTCTTAGAGAAGCCTTCTCTGACCCGCCCTTTGCAAAGGGTCCTCTGTTCTCCCAATCTCTTGACTTTATCCTATAGTCCTTTAATTTTTTTCCTAGGAATCATCACTATCTGAAGTTAGGTGGTTTGTCATTTTTTTACTCTACTGGAATGTAAGCCTTATGAGTACAGGGACTTTATCTTCTTTCTTTCTTTATCCTCAGCGCCCAGATCATGCCAGGCATGTAGAAGGCATTCAGTAAGTACTAGTTGAATGAGGAATAACTCTAAAGACCGTGGTTCCAATCATTGTACTATACTGCCCAAAGGTAGTTGGAATCATTGGGTATCTTAAGAATTTAAATTGTCTAATGAAGTAAATCTTTTTAAAAATATCTGGTAGTGATTTGCAGATTGAGTTTGGGTAGAGAATCCAGTTTGGATGCTATCCTAGCAATTTTAGCATGGGGTGATGAGAGCCTGAGCTTGGATAATAGCAGTGGAAATAGAGTGGAAGGTGTAAATCTTAGTAATATT